TAATTCACCTGCAAAAAAAATTATAAAACAAAAGAAAAACAAAGAGAGGAATAATTTTATTCCTGGAAAAATAGATAATGTACCTCTCAAGTTGTACTTATTCTGTTGGCCTTTTGTGACATTTTTCAAGTGACAGCAATGAAGATCAAAAATTGCTTCTGTAGGCCCCACACAGAGATAAGCAACAGAAGACACTATTAATTTTAACAGAGTAATTTATTGAAACCAAACCCTCCATGATTAAAATATTGGGATTTTTTTCCATTTTCATCCCACTCATCACTCTAAATGAGTCCACATTCCCTTTGCTTTATCTATTCCCTTATCCTCCAAAAAGCCATCTGCTATTTCCTTTATGAAAAAATAAAACCTACAATTAGTGTCTTGTACATCTTTTCTTTCTCTGAAAAAGAGAACTATTATGCAAATACTCTGCAATTTAGTTTCAAATACTCTTTGTAGTGTGATGAGCAATTTTCCTTAATACAAACCCAGCTTTTTTGCCAGGACTTACTAATAGATTTTTTTTTTTAAACAGAACTTTCACTTTTTGCATGAAAAGTCCTCTAATGTAAACTTTTCAAATGCATATTTAGAATGGATTATCATTTTTCTTTGTATTGTAGAAGGTAAAAGCAATCATTTCATATGAGTTACCCACAAAAAGAAGGCTGAAATAACCTCAAAATCTACTTCTACCTTGAATGTCATTATTCTCTTTACCTGAGGAAATGGCCTGTACAAAACACTACTCTCAGTAAATAACAGAAAGATTTTTTTTTTCCTGAAAGTGTATTGTAAGGGATGATAGTTTATCCATAAGCATAAATTTGCTGTTTGATTTTAGTTGCTGTTCAGACACTGAAGTATAAGTTAACCCAGTTAATTCTGGTATGGCTAATAGGATGGGTTTGAAACTATCATATTAAAAAGATAAACATCTACAGTGTGAAGGAAGGGCCAATGCAGCTGAAAATTATAATATCACAAGTAATTCTGCACTCAGATTCAGAAATTCTGAGATGTAAAAGTAATCCTGCTACCGGCTGGGGTAGTTATCTCATGAGCCTCAGTGGCCTGATTTCACAGTTGAGACTGGCTGCCTCTTTCTACTGCTTCTGGGATTTCTAAGAACGGTTTAAAGCGGGTCCCAAAGCTGTTGCATGTTGTTTTGCAATGGAATACAGAGAGACATACTTTGTCAAGATGTGCCAAAGTTCTTAAAGTTCCATGATTCCTACAATAGCTTCCCCCCAGAGACTTGCTGCCCATGCAGATTCCTAAGGTCCATTTCCAGACCTGATGGCTGAGTGTGGAAAACTGCACTTGTAATGATAAACCCGAATGATCCTATGCACATGAAAACCTGGGAGCCACCAAGAGAGACATACAGCACAATCTGTATGAATTTAATTTAGATATCTAACATCGGATATATTATCAAATATCGAACAATACATAATAATGATGTTTAATCTGACTAGATACTTTGCTCATTTGTTGGTGTGTATGTGTATATTTTGTATGTGTGTGTATTATAATTTAGTGAAGGGAACTTCCATAGACTTTTCATACAAACAAGTATTTAATACTTGATTAAATAAGAGGTTATTTAATTCAGCTAGCATTGCTAACATTTATCATTCATAGCTACACTCTCCTTATAGCTACGTGGTTTTGCTTTATTTCAGATGTTTCCTGAAATGGACAGTAAATGACACCAAAGTGTTTTCTCCTTGTGAAGGGGACACCTGAATGGCTGTGACATGCTTGTTCCCTGAGGCAGTTAGGGAAAGGACTCTGAAGGACCTATTTGACTGGGAAGCCATGTCCAAATCAATGGTTTCAACTTCTGCCACAAAGGCTTAGAAACAAAAAGTCTTTCGAGATACAGTTTACCAGCTTTTTCTTCTTCTTGGCCTTGTGTCACTCCTTTCTACTTCAACACTGCCCTCTCCTTACTCCAAAAATAAAATGAGACCTCACATGAAACACTGGCTGGACCCTGGAAATTTGTATCCTCCATCATACACACCTCAGTATTGTGACTAAGAAACTTTAGGCACCACTAGAACAGTAGCAGAGGTTAAAAACAGACACCATCCTCTCAAATAACTTTAAAGTAATAATAATAAAAGTCAAATATTTTTATGGCCAGTGGTGAAAATGTGCTCATGATGCTCTTCTCTCCTTGTACTGCTCCTATTTTCCACTTTCCCTGACCAGAGTGCTTTCAACATTATGGAATTTGTTTCTGTTACTTAAGTCCATGTGTCCAAATAATGTGCTTACACTGTCAGCTCTTAATTTTTCAGGCTAATGCATCACATACTAGTTTCTCATGGCCAAATACTTTTAATTCCTTACCATTATAACCTTGCAAAAGTGTCCCTCCCTCCACTTTATCTTCCAGGATAGTCCTCTAATTTCTGCTTATATCAATATTTGATGTTTACATTGTTACGATTATGTAACTATTTTCCACTGTATAATGAATGTTTTCTTTTCTGTACAAATCTTTGTTTTACCTCAAACTAATTTCTTTTTTCTACCTCAGCTTAGTTTTCTAAGTATCTGTCACTAATTTGATCTTCACCTCCTGCTAGAAAATAAATATCCTTTTATTTTCAACTTCTTAGGTATTGTATCAATTCTTTCTTCTTGGATTACCTTCTCCAGAGCCTTATGTCCTGCTCCAACCTGGGTTGGTTGCTGTCTCCACCTGTTGTAAAGTTTTTAGTCTGTAAAATTCCTTTACCATCATTTTAGATTTCTGTAGTTCATGTGGAATCTTTGTTTTCTCCATTACATCCCTTTAAATCTTTCCTCTCTGTTTTTCAATGAACATATCCAGCAGAGAAAGAAAGCAAGGAAGGTTTTCTGTTTTTTTTTTTTTTTTAAGATTTGTATATGTCCAAATATGTCTGTCATGTCCCCTCACTTGTCTGAAATTTTGATGAGTGTAAAATTTTGTTTTATCAAAACTGTTAGAATTTTGATGTCACGGACCCACTTGGGAGAAGGAATGAAAAGGTAGTTTTCTATTATATATAAATTTACATAAGATCTATTTTCCCTAGAATATGTCTCTTTCCATTGTTCCTGATAGCCGTAGTCCACAATACTTTCACTTTGGATTCTCCAAAGGTAGAAAAGGATATCTGTAATCTATGAAATTCCTAAGTGTACTTTGTAGCCGTTCTGAAATTAGTCCACTCCTCCCATATTCAGAAGACTTTGGTGATGTACACTGTTGAATTGCTTCTCAAATTTCCTCCTCCTGCTAAGTGAGACTTTGGATATTTTATTGTTTTCTGAGTCATTACCATGAGTAAGCCACTTTCTTTTTTTATTATGCTACTTATTGCCTCTTTCTATGATTGCTTTTTATTAATTCCTTTATTGTTAATATAGTGGAATTGGAGGGGATGGAAATAATTTTTGTACAGTATTCAATCCGCCATGCCGTCTTAAACAGAAATTCATTATAGCTTTCTGTCCTTAACTTTATTTTAAAAATTTCAAAGCTAGAGAAATGTTCAAGAATAATACATTGAATATTCTGTGCCCTCATATAAACTGGTAACAAATTGCCACGTGTGCCATCTCCATTTACACATATATGTGCATGTATTTGCATACACATGCATAAACATAGATATATACATATATGTATATTCATTTTCTCTCTTTCTCCTGCAAAACCATTTGAAAGTAATTTGCTGTCACAAAATACTTAATTCATAAATATTTCAGAATCTCTAAAGATCAAAGGACATTATCTTGCATATCTGTAATGCCATTATCATTTTTAAATATTTAATATCATTGTAGTATTACATAATATATATTCCCCATGCATATGTCCTCAAGTGTCCCAATAGTATTCTGTATAGAGTGGGGATTTTTCCCAATCTAGGAGCCAAAGACTCAGAGTCCCTTTAGCTCTATCATGAATTTTAATTTGTACACCCCGCACTTCTAACATTCTCTCTATATTTATATTTTCAGTGAATTCAGGCCAGTTTCATTTCAGAATGTCCTAAATGTGAATTTATTTAATTTCTTATGAGTAGAGTCATGTTAAATATTATTGCCAGGAATATTACATAGGTGATCCTATGTGGCTTTATGAAAGACAAATTTTCCTTTTTTTTGGGGTACCAGGGATCAAACTCGAGACCTTGTGTTTGCGAGGCAGGCGACAGCACCACTGAGCTAAATCCCGGCCCCTTTACTATTGTTTTTGCAGGAATTTATGGTTCTACTTTTTATTATCATTAAACAATGGTCTCTTTAAGATAATAATAAAGAAATTAGAACTCAATTTTCTCACTATGCAATCAGGAAATTGGAGTAGATAAATTTTTGTACTCTAACCTAGCTCTCAAACTTTATGAATCTATGAATAAAATATCACTTTCAATTTTAGAAAATGAAGTAAAATTGAGTAAGATTAAATTATGAAGCAAAATGTCTTATGAAAATGTATATTCTATATAAATTGACAATTGATACACTGCATGTAATTGTTTATATTTTTACAATTTATAACTTTCAGATGCTTTTCAACTCTACATTAATAAAGAATGACTTGACTTTGGGTCACCCTACTCTAGTTACAAATAACTTCATTTGTATAGATTATTATACTCTATAACCAAGATCAAAAGTTAAAATTCATGGTACAAGTTGAGATTAATTTCATTATACTTGGTAAATAAGATATAATATTGTTCATACTGCAAAAGAAAAAATATTGGCATTAATTCTATAGTCAGTCATTCTATAATTGCTTCTATTTAATAAGTGTGTAGACTTTGCTTTTCATTTGATTTCATTTAATTAAGTCATTTTAAATATAGTTACAATAGTATCTCTTTAAATAATTCCATTGAGTACATTTTCAAAATCACTATCAGTGCTATTAGTACATTGCAAGCGACTGTAAGTATAAGGAACTTTGAGCTGAAATGATGTTATTATCTTTTCTCTTACAGGAAGCTCTAATCATGGCAAGTATGGACCATCCACATCTAGTTCGCTTACTGGGTGTGTGTCTGAGCCCAACCATCCAGCTGGTTACACAGCTTATGCCCCATGGCTGCCTGCTGGATTATGTCCATGAACACAAGGATAATATAGGGTCACAGCTGCTGCTAAATTGGTGTGTACAGATAGCTAAGGTAAGTGCATTTACTTTATAGGGAAGTGACATTTCTGGGTTTATATTTCTTAATCTAGAACAGTTTGGATATTGAAAGCATGTCAAGACTTACAACCTATTTAAGCAAAATAAATTATATTTGTTATATTGAAAGATACACTATAAGGAGATACTTACATCAAACCATAGATCAAACACGTGATATATTTAAATATTTTTTAGGATATTTTACTACACCACCCATTCTGTATTTACTAGGTGCCAAAACAAATAGCTTACCAGTCAAAGGAAATAATTGCCATCCTGGATTTTTCACTGTTGTTTGATCGAGTGTAGTCAACTTCACAAACAAAATCAAGAAAGAAAAGGTCAAGTATCTGAATTGTTTCACTGTTACATGATCTTATTAAAATACCTGATAGAATTCTCAGCATTGTAAATGCTCAAAATCTATATAATTTCTCTTTCTCTCTCTTTTTTAATTGGTTATCGTTTTGAATTGGTTTGGTCTGACACTAGGACTTTGACTTGTGACAAACTTAAAGAAAATGGTCTTAGTGGTGTAGGAGGTGGCATTATGGAAAACTAGAGAGATCCACTCCCTTCTATAGACTGTGGTTTGGAAAATATTGCCAGAGTAATCTGATATTTCCATTGTTCAACAGGGGATAAAATATTAGATTGAATTCTCCAATATAAATTTTAGCTCAAATCTTTGAAGCAGTCTGGGGGCTAAACAAAACATTCATATTGTGTAGTCTATCAGTGTATAATTTCTGGTATACATTATATTCAAAGAATCCTTTTATTGATTATCTATACCAGTGATGGCGAACCTTTTAGAGCTTTCAATGATAACAAACAGCTAGCTGTGGAATGCGTGCCATAGGATCGCCACCACTGATCTATACCAAGTATCTTTTTTGTTTTATCTTGTTTTTTTTAGAGAAAGAGTCTCACTATGCAGTTGAGACTACCCTTTATCTCACTATGTAGCCCAGCCTGGTGTCCAACTCACAGCAGTCCTCCTGCTTCAGCTTCCCATGTGCTGGGATTACAGGCACAAACCACTATGCCCAGCCTAGATATCTTTCTGGAAACTGTCCTCCTTCTTCAAAAAGAGAGACGTGATGAGTTTTAATTCACTATATGAACTTAGACAAATAAAAATATAACCTGATATTCCATAAGTTTTCAGATGTATTCATGTTTACATTGTATGAAAAAAGCCCAAAATATTGAGTTAGTAGTTTTGCCTTTTTTTGTAATCTAATAATGAATGAATGTACATTATCAAAAGACAAAATTTAACATAATTCTTAAAACACAAACTCTCCAAATTACTTGACAGATAAGTACAGTTTAGTTGTATGTCCTGCAATCTCAATTTAGTCTCCTTATGGATTCTACATTATGATTTTGTGCCTATTGTATGATAAACTCACAATTTTGTGGATTCTTTATGGCAATGAAGTTTGAAATGTAATTCTATAAGACTCATTGATTTATGTAAGAACTTCTATAGTTTATAAAATGAGCTCAATAGACCGGAGAAATCCTCATTCTAGGATTATAAATAAAAAGAAAGCTAAACTTCAAGTTTTATGTCTTGTATTCTTCACAATTTAGATTTTGTCCTTAGGGATTTATGGCAGTAATATGGCATTTATACTCTATACTACTTATATATACTCTACTATTTATACTCTATACCCCACATTTATATTTTTTGAATGTTCCACTACATGTGTATGCATCTCTCTGGCTGTATGGCAAACTTATCTAGTCATTGATCCTACCACAAATATTTGTGGCTACTTATTACATGCCAAATACTCTGCTGATTGAGGTATATAGGGGTAAGCAACATAGGAATGGGGCTAATTTTTCTCTCTGTTCATACTAATAGGTTGAGCAGACATTCAACAAAAAATGGCATAAATTATTAAATTAAATGCTATGATTCAGATTTTGAAGAAAAATAATGTATAGACCTAAGGGACAATCTCACTGGATTCTAAGAGAGAAAGTATTGGTTATAGAAAGAATATTTAGGCAAAAGAGAAATCATACAGGACTTGGCTGATATTATTACTACATAATTTATCATCAAAAGAGGACAATTTCAGGGCTGAAATGGGACTCTATTATTTTTAGGTAGGCCAAGACAACCAGCATAGAAAGCTCTTTAATGGAATGGGTTTGTGGTGACTTATTGTAGCATAAAATGCTTGGATTTTCTGTTAAACATACTAAGTAGTTACAAAAGTATTTTAACTTGGAGTTGACAGTTTAGTTTATGTTCTAAAGGAATGATGTCAGTTTATATATGGAAATTAGATGAAGGTAATACAAGAATGGAAATGAGTACCAGTTAGGATTCTGAAAACTGCAAGCCAGACAAAGTAGATGGAATGCAGATATATGAATGAAGGCTTGTTATATGATTATTGATTAGTTGTGAAGGTGAGAGAGAGGAATATAGTGTTAGTCAGTTTTTCAGTCTCTGAGGCAAAATATCTACACCCATGACTTAAAGGAGAAAATTAAATTGGTTCACGATTTTAGGGGATTCAGTCTGTGGTTGGTTGGCTCCAAGGCAGTGGCATCACAAGGGAGGTGTGTGGCAGGTAAAAGCTGCTCACCTCACTGTGGCCAGGAAGAAGAGCAGGGAAGCAGCAGCAGAGAATAAGGGGTGAAGACCCAGTATACACCCCAAGGTCAAGCCTCCATGACCCACACAGACCTAACCAGAAGTTTGCTTTACTACTCCCTTGGGTGGCTTTCAAGACAATGAAGTTTGCACTCAACTATTGCACAATAGCCATGAAACAGAGAATTGTTTTAGAAATGTCTCTAAAATATGGCTAATAGGATCTGATTGAAGACATATTTTATATATATCAATTTCAGTAATTCAAGTAATTCAAGGCCCCTTTTTTTCTTTACTTTCATTTTTCACCAAGGTAGACTTATGGAAGTGTGTGAGATATCATTAGGATTATTTTAGCACCAACTATTAATTTATAACTCTTTTCTTCTTGTTGATAAAGGTAGCAAGTTAGAGGGAGGGATGTTTCTCTAAAATAACCACGTCATACTTTTGTTAAAACGTACTTATGGGAGCTTTAGTAGTATGCAGAAGTTGTAATAGTTATAGCTGACATTACCAAACCCTTCCTCTGTTCAAAGCATTGCTCTGTGTGCTTTTTATTCATTAATTAATAAGTCTTATCACAAAACTGTGAAGTAGGTATTATTATGTCCATTTCACAGACAAAGTGATATGCATGGAACTGAAGTAAAAAGATTAAATTCACATAGATAGTAAAGAAATTGTGGAACCTCTATTCTGTGTTGAAGTATTTTGGAAGTATTTTCATGTATACTCCAAGTGTTCTTTCCATTCTTTCATCATTCCATAAAATTTAACAGAAGACACACATTTAAAGGTCAAAACCATTTTCTTCTCACAGCCATATTTACTCTGCATATGCAGCATGTGGAACTTGACTTCACTTGGCAAGCATAGCAGATGTTGTTACTTCATGTTTGTACCATAGTATACACCTCCATGATGCTTTAGGAATGTGGGATAGCAGGTAATGGTGAGAAGTTCTTTTTTCACAGTTGTTTGCAAACAAGTTGGTCAGCCATCTGACAACAAACTAAAGATTTTTAAAATTGATTTTGGGCTTAGAGTGAGGAAATGTGCTGTTGTGTAACACTGATAAAGACTGAGTCTGTGTGGAGCATGGTAGTTAGCTTTTCATTATCTCAAATACCTGAGACAAAGCAGTTTATAAAAAGGAGAGTTGGATGTGGGCTCACAATTTTGGAAGTTTCTGTCCATGGTCACTTGACAACATGGCTTAGGGCCCGTGGCAAGGAAGCATATATGGCAGGGAATGTGTGGTAGAGCAAAAAGTCATTCTCTTCATGGCTGGGAAAGGGGAAAGTATTGGGGATCCACCATCCCCTTCAAGGGCATGTTCCAAGTACCAGCAGTCCTCCCACTGGCCCCATCTCTCAGTTTCCACCATATCCCAGTAAAGCCCAGAACTTTGGGGGACAAGATCCAAAGCATGGCATGGATGAAACATATGTTGCACTTCTGGATCTTTTTGGTGCTTTTCATAAGTTGTGTTATTTAGTCTATTGAAATTTTAGAAGTTATGGCCCACTATTTCCCTGAGTTACAGATGAGGAAAATGGGAAGTTCAAAAAGACATGCTTACATATTGATACGCTAGACTCTGTAACTCTGTCTCCTCAGGTGGGCCTCTAAACCACTCCACACATTTCCTTGTCCATTCACACATGCATCCCTGCAGCTTTTGTTACACCTGTTCTCCTTTTGTTATACTTATGAATTAGAGGATGGGGGAGGAGTGTGCCATTTATCATGTACTTGTAATTAATTCCATTTTTAAAAAATCTATCATAGAGAGTACTTTTCACTGTCTTCATGAAAGTATGTGCTATCTTCACCCACTTGGAGCAAGTACTAAATGAATAATTATGGAGTACTTTTTCATATACTGTAATAGTGTTTAAACTACTACATTAAAGTAAGCTCCAAAGAGTCCTGTGAATTTCTGTGAGTCACGAATACTGATCATGAGTGACAATATAAATCATATTTAAATTATATAATGCGGCACATTATACTCACAGACTGTAAAGCTCAATTGCTGGGGTCCAAATCACACCTTTACCATTTATTAGTTGTGTGGCCTTCAACAAGTACTACAGTTAATTTTCAATTGGTGCTGAAAAAATATCTATTTCATAGAATACTTATGAGGATAAGACAGTATTTATAAGATGGTAGGAATACTCCTTAGCATAAAGAAAGAATGTACATTATTTGCTATTTGGGATAATATCTTAAAAGAATATAATAAAGCAAGACATGTATGTATAGTTAGGATACTGTAATGATGCCATTTTAAAAATACAGATATGTGATTTTAAAATCTTAGATGTAATTTGACATTAGTTCTCAGGCCATGCTGA